TAGTGGCGATAGCCTCAAGTGCCTCATTCAAACATGTAGTATCCCACATCAGTTTGTAACTTACTTATTGACTCACGTTGGCCACGCCATAGCTCAAGCTGTTAGTCGCTGGCTTCCCACCGCGGCGGCCCGGGTTCGATCCCGGGTCTGGTCAAGTGGGATTCGTGTTGGACAAAATGGCGCTGGGGCAGGTTTTCTCCGAGTACTTCGGTTTCCCCTGCCAATCTTCATTCCACCAATTGCTCCACAATCACCCTCACCTATCATCTGGGGCTGGTACAATAGGCCAGAGGTGGCCGAAGTACGAGGGACTTAGTCCCACTCCACTAGCAATAAAAAAAAATATTGGCTCACATACATATTTCTTTCCACTGAATAATGTGTCAAGCTCAATGTTTAATGCCATTTCTTGCGAGCAGGATGCATGAATAATCAATTGTAAACCATCTCCTTTACATAGTGAACTACATTTCACGTAACTACATCAAAATATTATCAGTATTCACAGAATAGCAATGATGCGCTGAAATAAAAGACTGTTGGCTCGTTTGTGGCTTACGGCGTTAACTTACTTTCATTTACTGTGTTAGCAACTCTGGAGATTTCCTTGCTACGGTAACCCAAAATTATTTTTTACATATCTAGAAGGATGTTTGACTGAAATTTATTTTACATTATTTTTTAATTTTTTCTCAATCAACAACATCCATTTTAACCTACTTTCCTCACTTAAAAAATAAAAGTAGGCATAAGCGATCACCATGCTGTTCATTATCTGTGTATCTCCCGCTATTAACTTTTGATTTCCTGAACCACTCTTTATGAAACTTGGTATGTACATCATGGCGCCTGAGCCCGTCTGAACGGCAAAGGTAAAAAAGGCAAAGTTGTTCCTGTGCTTAACTAATTAAACACTACGCCATAAAGGAGTATGGAGGAGTGGATGTATAGATCCACATTTTCTTCAGCTCGGCACTAGTTGGAGGTGAGTGGTCAGCTTCACGCCCCTGCCGCTTTACTCCCGTGGAAAGAGCCCCCGGCATCCATTGGGTAGGAGGCTGGGTGGTCCCCATAGCTAGTCTGGATGACGTGGAGAAGAGGAAATTCTTGACCTTACCAGTACTCGAACTCCGACCCCTTGATTGTCCAGCCCGCAGCTAGTCACTATACCGACTATGCCATCCCAGCCCCTTCAACGGTTCGGTAAGCATGCCCTCACTGCAACGAATAGCCGAAAAATAATCCAGTGCTGGTCAGCGGTCCAGTAAGCACATTCCCACTGCAACAGTTAAACAAAGAAAAAAATAATAACAGGAACTGCAAGATATGGTGACTTATATTCGTTTTGCCTGGAAGTTAGTTCAGTTCAGGAGAGTTCAATCATTCGGCATGAGGTGAGTTAGGTATCCTGTGTGGAGGCAGGGTCGAATACCTCCACCGTAGCCCTGAGAGTCATAGGAGTTAGCGAAAAGCAGTCTCGAATATGAGACAGTGAAATACGGTCGCAAGTCCCAGAGGACTCGGACCCAAGAATGACTGTGCTAGCGAGGGCCAGAAGCAATTGTAAACAATAGACCTGTTCGCTCGTCAGAGACAGTGCCCCACATCAACAAACCCACAGCTGTCTGACAGTAATAAAAATCTTGTCATAAGCCCTAGAAGGGTGCTTTATTCCAAAACAGGCTGCCTGACTGACTGTGGGTCATAACATAAGACTCAGACTCATTTGGCATTCATAAGGGATTCATTCATGAGACAGTCATCATTCAAGGCACTTGGACTAGAAGAAGTGACCAATTCATAAATCAGAACCAAGTCAGTCACGCAGAAGAGGAGACACTTGTAGTCTCATAAGGAATGGAGTGAGTCTTAAACAGTTATCGATTATGAGCTGCTATAATGTATTGTAATTGTAAATCAGGCATCAGTAAATCCAATCATCCAATCCAGGACCTGATAAATTTGTCACATAAACCCATCATACATGACAATATAGAACACAGCAGCTTTTGTGCATTACCCATGCAAATAGGAAATGTGCTGTAGCCTACTACTGCAGTGAGTAAAGTTTGCAGATTGTTGGGAGTTCAGTTACTCTTGTGGGAGGTATTATTATCAGTCAGTTCAAGTTCAGCAGTCTTTAGTGTCATTATTTAGTGCATAAGGATAATGTCAAATAGCTAGATAGGAAGCGAAGGAAATACATGAGGAACATATTTTGTGATCGATTATCAAATCAGAAATGTATATGCATTTCTGATTACTGAGCTTGATGTGAGTAAAATAAATTTCATAAACAGGAGTGATCATAGAAGCAAGATTGATTGATTTATTATGTAAAATCATTATGGTGGGCCCTCTCAGTGATGAAACAGTTGTGCTTCCTGATTGAACATTCTGAGACAGTGGGGCAAGGCACAGGGGCACATTGTGGCATAGTTGGAAATTGCAACAGATTTCATCAACACATTGCCAGGCAACAGCTCTGTATACATGGTCCAACATGCAACAATAGAGGAAGCTGTGTTTTCTGTACATCCCACCGACAGGACAATTGACTGGCTGGGTAGCTATCTATCTATCACACGATGTGTGTTTACTGTAGGTCCATGTCCATTCCAGGCTGTATAAGCAAGAGTGATGGAATTTGTTCAAGGCAGTTATGAGTCAGCAGTCATAAGATGAAGGAGTGAGTCCAGAAGAATTTTTAGTTCTGAGGTTCCAGAGAGAATGAAGACCAAATAGCAGGAAGTCTTCATAGTGATTTGAAGCGCTAATTTCTGTGTTGAGATCCGTTGCTAGGAGATGACTAGTGGAAACTGAGAAACTTAGTGTATGTGCAACAGTGGACTGGAAAGTGTGTAAATAGCGATAACACTATAATTATATGTAATTACTAGTGGTGTGTGTCAGGAGTAAATAAATCCATTCATCCACTCCAGAACCCACATTATACACTTACACATTATACATTATACACTAATACACTTACCAATGTTAATATTGTAAAGTAAAACTAAGTAAAAAGTAAAGGTATCCCTGTAATAGGCCATGGAGGCCCATAGGGTTGTGAGATGTTGAGGTTCCCACATTTTCTAGACAATCAGATCATAAATGGCGGCAAGGTTTTCAGCCTTACGTATCGGCCGCCCTTTACCCCCAGGAACATTCCAAAAATATTCCTGGTACTCATTTCTGTTAGAAACTGAGTCAACCCCAGGGCCATAGTGCAGCTGGAAGGATTAGGTCAATTGAAAAAATCCAATGACCTCATCGGGACTTGAACCCGCGACCTTCCGGCTTGTAGCATAATGCCTCAACTAACTACGCTACTGCATGTCCCCAGTGTTAGTACTGTAATACTATTATACTGTGAATAAGATATAAGACTCTGTAACCAGTCCCTCTTTCTTGTATATTTTTGTTACATGGCATTATCAACACAAAGATCTTGAGTTTGTCATGTTTTGAAACTTTAGATAACCACTCACAGCACCTCACCTATAGAATTTAAAGACTGCAGTGAAATTTCAGTGGTTCTGTATGGGTGTGAAACTTGGTCTCTGACATTGAGGGAGGAATATAGACTGAGAGTGTTTGAGAACAGGGTGTTAGGAGAATATTTGGACCGAAGAAAGATGAAGTCACAGGAGGTTGGAGAAAACTGCATATTGAGGAGCTTCATAACTTGTACTCTTCTCCAAGTATAATTAGAATGATCAAGTCAAGGAGGATGAGGTGGGCAGGTCATGTAGCACGAATGGGGGAGACGAGGAATGCGTGTAGGATATTGGTGGGAAAGCCGGAAGGAAGGAGACCACAGGGAAGACCAAGGCGTAGGTGGGTGGACAATATTAGAATGGATCTTAGAGAGATAGGATGGGATGGTATGGACTGGATAGATCTGGCTGAGGATAGGGACCAGTGGAGGGCTCTTGTGAACACGGTGATGAACCTTCGGGTTCCATAAATTACTGGGAATTTCTTGAGTAGCCACAGAATTGGTGGCTCCTCAAGAAGGGCTCAGCTCCATCAGTAAGTAAGTAAGTAAGTGAAATTTCAGTTAAATAATATTTTACTCTTAACAATCTGAGCATGGAGAACATTCAGCATGAGTTATTGAGTGTTTTGCATCAATATGGGAGTTATTTTCTTTAGTTATGCATATGTAGTGTTTCCATGTGGGAATTCCTTCCCGGCACTTCTCAGGAAATTTGTATGTTTCTCCAAATCCTGAATCCCTAGAGAAATTAGTCAAGAAATCAGAAAAATGGGAAGACTGTTGGATAGGGCAGTTAATATTTTGTGTTNCACACGACTTTGTGGGAACTGGCGAGTCAGGATATTTCTGACGAAACCTACGTGCGAATTTTCTGTAAATGTTTTTCCTTGCAATAGTTTCGACAATAAACACACGCTGTTTAATAGTGAACTTCATTTCCACCGTCTGTCGACAGCTGTAAACATTCCACTCCACTTCCACAGCAAGACAAAGACTGACTGTTTAATGCAACCTCGGGTTCCGATTATGCAACCATCGGCGTAGGAGCACTGCAGTCGCGGGGAGGAGTTGCATCCGTTCTGCGGTGGTATGACTCACGGCAAATTGCAGCCGCGGCGCGCACTTGATTGTACGCACTGTAATTTTTAGACTGATAATGATAACATTTCTAAATATTATTACTGAATTATATAATTTGGTCTCAATATATTGGTTCATAATAATACTAAAACATGCATTTATTATTATATCATTTCCTGCAGAAGAACTCAGAAACCTTTAGTATAACCCTACCACAAAAAGATTAACTGTTTATTATAAATATCAAGGTCACTCGTTATTTAAAACACATAAATAACATTTTATGAAAAATGCAGAATAACTTATGATTTCGGGAAATCCTGGAAATTCCTATTTCCCATTCCCGAATCCAGAAGATGTATCTGTCAGGAATTTGGAAACAGTGCACAAGTTCTTATGTGTGATTGACCCATTACAGGAATGCAGACCGCTTGACGAAGTCAGATACTGTGAGCTTTGGTAAGAAACGTCTCCATTTAAGGAATGTATCGGCTAAAGATAATGGAGTATATCGGTGTACTGCTCGCAATGAGGCTGGATTCAGAAGCAGTGCTGATAACTTCTCATTGGCGATAGCAGGTAAGTTGATTTCATAATGAGTAATACTGTGTGTGTGTGTGTGTGTGAGAGAGAGAGAGAGAGAGCGAGAGCAAGAGAGAATAGGGGCAGGAATTTTTCATTTTGTTGGCATCTCTAGACAGGCTTTGGGGCCCATGCAGTCTCCTATGAAATAAATACTAGGGCCTCTTTCTCTCGGCTGAAAGCAGCAAGAGCACGAAGCTGACCACTTTCTTACAGCTAGTTCCTTTAACGTCGCTTTAATATGTACATGAATGCATTCAATTCTGTACACTTTATGAGTATATATCTTCTTAAGAAATAATTCAGTTACAATTGAAGGACTATGTGAACTGAGGCTAGTCAGCAAAGGAATGACTACTGAAGAGTTTGATTCTTGGTAGTGGTGACAAATTGTCTTTGTTATCATGTCCATCCTACTACTGGGACCCACCCAGTCTCCTGTCCAGTGGGTACTGAGGACAGAATTTAAACACTTAAGCTCTGAGAGGTTGTAGGGAGTGCACACCTTTGACAGTGTAACCATTCAAAGCAGTGTATTTTATTTCAGTGCTTAGGTTAATAAAATTCAGGAAAGACTCACCACTTCACCAAGAGAAGTTAAGATTATACTGAGGATATGGAGAGAAGTGCCGTGTATCGACCACTTCCTAATCTCACTTGAACTGTGATGATTCCCCCTCGGCTTGTGTAACCTCTCAGTTTGTAGGGATTTTGGCGTTGATAACCTTTGCTATTATAGCGACAAATGCTTTAGGCTGGTTGACTTGGTATAGAGGGAGTTGGAAGGGAACAGATTGGGGTAGCCTTGAGCAGGACCATCAGTGGGACTTCTTCCTGTGACCTTAGTAACTTGTGTAATGCATGATGAGGAAGTTGCTTTTATCTGTTTGTCCATATGTGTGTAACATGGTACCTGTCATTATTTCAGCAAATAGCTATGCAGAGAATTGTGATGTGTATATGAAGCCAAGCTTCTGTCTTTGGACCATTTCACTCAAGCAAGATCACCATCTTACTTAAAAGCTTAAATGCTCTGTATGACAGTTTTGTTAAGTGCTTAGCAAGTCAAATTACAAAGGTGAAGATAATGGTTTCAAGAATGTACATAATAGGAGCAATTGCTCCTTTTCTTAGAGACACAAAAAACATGTATTTAGCTGGAAAAATGAAGCAAGTAATTGAAAGGATGTTGTCTTGTGGTGCACTATATTGAGAGTACTATCACTGCAGTCAAATGCATTTCGTTACCATTTTTGGGTATCATTGATGTTCAACTGTGCATCCACAAAGTTGTTTCTTAAAATTTAAAGCCGTTTTTTTAAATTTAAGGCCACTATTTTATGCTGGTTTGGCAGCATTTGGATAATGTTTATGATGAACTGAGACAACTTATGTTCCATTATGAAATATAACACTTTAACTTTTCAAACACTAGAACTGGATTGAAGATTGTAATGCATTTCATTGTTACTGCCAGGTATATGATGTAAGGTATACCAGTAGTATGGGATAATCAGACATGCAGTTGAAGAAAATAAATTTATGAAATGGAGTCAGCTGTAGTAGTTAATGTTTGATTACTTTTATTGAGTTTCAAATTTTAAGGGGTTAACAAAACTTGTGAGCTGTTGTGTTTCAGAAAATGGTTCAGCCCTCATAAAAGTTCAACCCCGTAACCAGCTGGTGAGGAAGGGTGACTCTGCTCGGTTTGACTGTGTGTACCAGAATGCCAACATAACAGAGTGGTACTTCAAGGGCAAGGCAGATCCTATATCGAAGAACAGTACCAGGTATTCAAAAGATTCTTATGGGGTGCACATCTCAGTGATAAGGTTTGCAGGCAGCATTCAGAACTAAACATGGTAGCAAACAGCATTCAGAACTGAAGCAGTAAACTTCAGTCTTATTATTCATATGAAAGACTGAGAAAATCTAGAGGTTCCTGTATTTGGACAAATACTGGCTGGTTACAAAACTCAGTTTCCAGTCCAGAGCCACAGAGCTGATAACTCTGATTACTCCCCATTACTGTGTTGTGAACTGTGATCATTTCTTTCACAGTGGGGAATTTGCATGAATCTGAAGAGATGATTTGGTTATGGTCAGTGATTGTAACATAGAATGCCCCTTATTCACAAACACTATGTTGCACAACACAACACTTTGTTGCAGCTGTGGGCTTTCATTCTTGTCGGGCTTTTGAGAGAACAGATTTATTTTTTGGTTTTGCATCAGTGAGATGGATATAACTGTGTTGTCCCTACTTCATACATAGATTTTTGATAGCTTTTTAAATCCATATTATCAACATATCAAGTGTTCTGACCATAGGAATTTGTATTATGGGAGTAATACTCACTTATTCCTTGTGCATAGAATTCTCTAAGAAACTTTGTCCCGTGTATGACATATTGGCTACCTCTTACCTTCTGGCTTTCTTTCACTGATGCTTCTGTCCTGAAAAGACTTAACACAGTCCAGTTTGCAAGACTAACTTTTCCGTATAACCTATCTCAAGTTTTATCTTTATATTACCAATCCAGTATCCAACATGCCCACCCCCCTTCCACCATGTGGAAGGCCCAGGAGCTATCTTTTATATGGCCTCAAGCCTTTAACCTGTCTAACATGGGTGACACTACCAGGACTTATGCCTCTGCTGTCACAGTTTTTCAGATGATCAGAGCAAGCAGATTTCCCCATGATGGTAAGATAGTAGTCCAGAAGGAGAAGGAGTAACACTAGTGCTACTTAATATTAAGTGCAGTAATCATCCACTGCAATGTGTGGAAGTTTTCCATGGCGTTAAATATACACAACTGACAGAGTAATTATTTAGTAAGATGACAACTGGAATGTTAATCTCACAAATATTTTGGTCTGATTAAAGTAACTGATCAATGCAGTAACTACACATGACATTTTATGGTAATATGTTACATGCAATAGTAGTTACAGGTGAAACCAATATGATCAGATCCTTAAGAATCCTAAAATGCACCACACCAACATCAGCTCTTAACATTTGTTTTGTAATTTAATTTCAGGTTTACTAGAGAACTTGAATATCAACTGTTCTTATAGTTACAGCCATTTTACTCATCTGAGCAATCACTTGTTTGTCCGGAAGTTGTAAATCTTAAATATACATATAAAATGAAGAGTAGAATAGGTTCAGAAAATACAGAATTCTGCCCGATAACACTTTAAGCACAGCAAACAGATTTTATACTATTTACTGGATGATTTAGATAATATGGTTGAATTGTGGTTAACATGGTAGGTATTACAGACTGGTGTTATCTGTTTGAAACACATAGATAACGCAGTTCAGGTACATTTAACTTGAAGACTGTATTAGAAGTGACATGAAATCTGTTCCTATTAAGAACCTAGACTTCATATTAGGCATATTGTCAACAAATTCTAAATGATCTGATGAGTAACTCTTGGTGTCAGTAAGAGGAGAGACGTGCAACTAATATCTGAACACTGTTTTGGTTCAGACTCACTTTTACATGTATCACAATTTAATTATGCTTATCTCCAGTTTATCAGTTTACATGCACTTCACATTAATATGTTAGGTATAGCAGCAGACATTTTAAAGTGTGTTAGGTATAAGCAACATTACAGTTACACTTGATATTAATTCATATCTCATCCCACTGGATTGTTCTAAATTATACAGCAAGTGCCTTCATGGGTTAATACTATTAGGGAATTTAAATCAAGGGTGGTAAAATGACATACACATATTCTACAGAGAGGAATAACAAATGTTCTCGAGTCTCCGTATCCTGTGTCTTGAGTTTTTGAAAGTCCATATTGGTCCAGATATGAAATTAAGTGCTCTGTCTTAAAAAATGAGGTGTTTTGAACTAATTTATAGAGATGTGAAATTCAGTGCAGGCTGAGAAATATGTTGTACCACACAAGGGACTTTGATTTTAGTGAGGTAGGAAAATAGGAAGGGAAGCAGGCAATCAGTTATTCTGTTTGTAAATTTTTACAGCAAAGATTTCTTGAAAGCTGTAATTGTTGTTTAATTTTTAATATTATGGAAAAAGTCAGAATTTAGCATGTTGAATTTAAGTTCCCTTAATTTAAAATAACATGGTGCACCAGTAGTTTAACCTAACAAAATAAAACAAATATTAATTAAACCAAACCAAAGGAGGAAGGGATAAAGAAATGTCCCATAAATTTCTTGTTAAGGAACCCAAGAAGTATTCTGCAATTTAACTAGTGCACAACACAATGCAGAATCATCTGTTCAAGTGAGGGTGGTTGGAATTAATTGGTTTCAACAATAGAGAAAAATTTTGCTTTCCAATAGATATTGCTTTTTATTAGAGTAAGCTTTGCAGTAGGGACTCTTTATGATATTTTCAGGTTGAAAATATGAGTTCTTATCTTTATAAAAACAAACTCGGTGGTTTTAGTCTGCAAGTGAGCTAAACTGACCGAGCGACCACTACTTGTCGCTGAAGTTAGTGCCAACTTTAGCAGATAGAGGGTGTCGCGTGGTGAGCACAACAAATCCCCATGGTTGTTAATTTCGGTTTCTTAGACCGGAGCTTAGACCTAGAAGTAGCTCCTCAGTTATCCTCACAAGGCTGAGTGGACCCCGTTCCAGACCCACTACTTCTGAGAAAATCTGTTAGCCCCGGGAATCGAACCCGGGACCTCTGGATTTGTAGGCAGGAACTCTGATCTCTAGACCACAGAGACGGTCATGTGCTTATCTTTAAGGGTTTAGAAAATGATTAATGCCTAGGTATAAGGCGCTAGAATGGCAAATACAATTTTTAGTTCTTTGTTGAGGCTTATCAGCCTAGAAGAAGAAGCAAGATGAGGTGACATCTCACAAGGATGTTTATCACCATGGTGAACCTCAAATGCTGCTGCACACAAATGTTTATCATTTGGCAGTTACTGTTGGGTTCCCAACTGTGGCCAGGCTTTGTGTCTTTGAGCCTGCTGTGCCGACTGTGTTAAATATTTATACAGGGAACAGTTGACTGATAGGAAGAGACTTTTAAACACTGAAGGCTCCTGCACATGATGCATCTGGAAGTCATGTCACAGGGTCCCTGCATCAAATCTGGCCAAAATGTTTCTCCAGATGTTAATAATCTTCCTCCCCAGTGATACATATTAATATAAACACACACACATATGGCAGTTTTCCTTGAATGTATATTTTCTAATCAAGTCCAAGGCTTATGAAGGTTCAGAGCAAGATAAATTTACACTTACCTTTTGAGGGTTATTTTATTTATGTGATTGTATCATCATAGCCCTTCCAAATAAGCCCAGTTGGTATGATTTTGGGTATTAAGAACAATGCCTCATCTTTTTTTAGATCTTGTTAAGTTCCTCTTTCCTGTGGGTTGATATGCGTGCTGTGCACATGTATATATTCGGTTTTTTATCAGGGTAGGAATGCCGTCAAAATTCAGTCTTTCATCGTGTTCTTTTCAGTTTCCTGTTCAGTGTAGCACAAAATCTGTTATGTAAAAGTTTTAACCCCTTTCTTATTTCTTCATATAGGGTACAAGAAGAAATGTGAGCAAAGAAAGTCTATTCAGAATTTCAGAAGACATCAACCTAAGCGCTATACTGGCTAGCAAAATAAGACTGACCATAATGATGACAAGTTATGATCTGTCTTATCAATTAAAGCAAATTGAAGGCAAAGATTTTAGTTTTATGGTCATATCAATAATTAAAAGTTTTCATTAAAAATGATCTGAAAGTACTGAAGGTCCTGATGTTAGACAATGTACAAATAGTCCCATGGCTTTGAATCTTAACTAATTACACTCAACTCTCGATTATCCGGGATAATGGTGGGGATGGTGGGGCTTCCTTTTACACCCTGACATTTTACTAACGCATTTGAAGACCGATACAAAGAGACTAACTGGGACGGTGTGTCTGTCCTTGAAACTTTCCAAAAATCCTTGCATTCTTTCACCCCTACCCTAGAATATTGTGTTAGCATAACAGGACCAAAAAATGCAGAACTCGGTTCACACTAGTGCGAAAATAGTGTTACAACTCACCCTGTGAAACAAAAGTGAATGAATATTAAACAACATATAAGCCTCAAAAAAAGCGCTGGTTAAGCTGCAAACCGGTTTATCCGCCCCCAGATAATCGAGAGTTGAGTGTATGTCTATTTGGTATCATAATAGGAGAGGATTTGGGAGACACTGACACTAACTATATAACTGTTTAATTCAGAGCCTTCTAGTAAAGTTGACAGTTATTCAGTTGGTCAAGAAATTCTCCCTTTAAAGAATCAAGAATTTCCTTATACAGAAATAAAAAACTGCCATTAGATCTTATCCTGAAATAGTTGAATAAGTTCACATACTAATATACTGTTTCCTTAAGATTCATTTATCTGTGTTTTGTATCTCAAGCAGCTTCTCTTATTCAGGTTTTTGGACTTATGTATATCTAACTTTCCCATATGGATCCTACATGTCCCACCCATCACACACACTACTTTATTTAATCACTCTAAGAACTTCAGGTGAAGACTGCTATACATGTAAGGGTCTTCACCATGTATTCTCCATGACACTTATTTTCAAGCAATGTTAATCTGTGGTTTTCCCTTATAGAGAAAAAACCACAAATATAATTATGGTTTGTTACTGATGTTCTCCTGAATTTAATTTTTCTACCTTTGTAATATTGTTTTATGTCCTTATGTTATTGGTTTTACTGTATTGTGGTGGCAATACATGAACACATAACTAGTTTTCTCTCTTTG